TCCACCTTCTCACCAGTTGGTTATACCTAGGAATATATACCTAGTGACTGGAGTAGTCTAAGTATTCATCTTTGAAAAATTCACTATTCAAATGGGAGATAGCTTAAAGTGCAAATGATAAGCAAGTTAGTAGAGACAACTAGAGGTAGGCCAGTGAGAAATGATTTAAGTACTTGCTCTCTCTGGTACTTGTGTAGAGCTGGCATTCAGTGAGTATTTATTTTTTTTTTCTTTACTTGCTTGCTTTTGAGTTTCACAGATTTGGTTGGTTTTCCTTAAGAATTACATGACATTAAGGAGTAAGTGGAGTTTTTTTTGGAAGGATTAGGGGGTAACTGTTAAGCAGTATTTTCAAAGGGAGAAGAGGCATATTTTGGTTGAGAGGAAAGGAGGAAAGTGTCAGTGAAGAAGGGACTGCTCTAGGTGATTTAGGGACCTAGAAGCCGTTCCTTCCCTTTGCTCCAGCTGGGCTGGGATTATACTTCGCTTTGTACAGGGATTCCTTGTAGCAATTATTGTTATGTGTTAGAACTGCTTCTCCTCTAATAAGCTCCCTGAAGCTGTGACCAGTACTTCTTATCTGTGTGTACTCAGGCCCTCACTCAGTGCCAGGCATGTTATAGACATTTAATAAGTAGTTACTGGAAGAATCAATAAATTAATGAATGAAAGACTTTTTCTAAGACATGGAGCAAAAGGACAATGATTTCTTTACTGTGCAACCACAGTAATGGTTGAACCTGTGGTTAGACCGATTTATTGTTGAGGTGCTCTATTAGAGCTAGAATGGTTCAGGAGCCTAGGTTATAAAGCAGGGATGAAGTTGTTCAGTAGAAACCAGAGGCATTCTGAGTGGAAAATGCAATTGGGAAATTTTTCACAAAAGTAACTATCATGATATAAGTGCCTTTTTCATTTTCTAAATAAATGTAAATAAAAAATATTTGAAGGAGAAGTAATTTCTTAATGTTAAACATTGCATCTGTGAAATTTGATTTTTATCTTCTTAATCCTTGGTCTTAAAAATACTTTTCGAAAAAAAATTATTTGCGGTCTCCGCTGCTGCGCTGGCGCACCCAGAGAGGTTTCAGCCGCAGTCTCCAACCGTCCTTTTTTTCCTGGGGGTCCTCGGTCTTTACTAGCTGCAGACAGTCTCTCAGCTGAAAATCCTCTGCCTATTCGGGCTGTATGCTGCCCGTTTCAGCTGCTCACCCTTATCTGCTCCAGGAGAAGGCACAGGACACGTCCCTTTATACCTCCGCCATTTTTCTGTTTCTGAGAAGTAATTTCTTAATGTTAAACATTGCATCTGTGAAATTTGATTTTTATCTTCTTAATCCTTGGTCTTAAAAATACTTTTCGAAAAAAAATTATTTGAGGAGTCTTTTCTTTATATTTTTACTAGAGGCCCTGCCCCTGATCAGAGTGGGGGGCATCAATCAGGATGCAGGGGCTGACGAGGGGCGAGGCCGGCTGGGGGGAGGGGCTGTGGGAGGTTGCCAGCTGCCCCCCCCTCCCCCATTGGGGTGCTGGGGGCTGATCGGGGCTGGGCCGGTGGGTGTGGGGGGAGGCGATTGGGGCCCGAATCAGGCTGGTTGGCTGCTGCAGTGCACGTCATAGCCACCGGTTGTTCTGGTCCTTCTGCCATTCTGGTTGCTGGGCTTTTATATATATAGATACTTATGATAAAAATGCAAACTAGAGGTACATAAAGTAGAAAGTGGCATTCTTCCCACTATTTTGTCTCACTCTTCAGAGGTAGTTAATGATAAAAGTTTGATGTATATTAGTTTTTACTTTTTTGTTAATCCTTATCTGAGGATTTTTTTTCATTGATTTTTAGAGAGAGTGGAAAGGGTGGGGAGAGGAGGAGAGGTGGAGAGAGAGATTGAGAGAGAGAGAGAAAGAGAGACATTGATGTGAGGGAGATACATCGATTAGTTGCCTCCCACATGTGCTTTGACTGGAGCTGGAGATTTAACCTGCAACCCAGGTATAGGCCCTTGACCAGGAATCAAACCTGTGACCTATTGGTGGTGGGCCAACACTGGCCAGGGCCATTTTTACTTTTAAGTTATATATGTTCAAGAACATGCATATTTATATTTGTATAATTTTCAAAACATGATCATTTGATATATATGTTCTGAAATTTGCTTTTCCTACTTACCCACTGACTTCTATTTATCCTCCTGTAATTCTAAAATTTGTTGGATATATTAAAAGACAGAACTAGCAGAGAATAACAGTCAGAAACTAGTGCAATCAAATGTATGGGGATGTCAATTAGTGGTTGCTGGGAACAAGTCAGTGCCAATAGGAGTCCCCAATTTGGTGTGCAGTGAGGAAAGAAACTTTATTTAGTGCCAACAGCTCAACAGAAACAGTATCACTGTGGCACAGCTCCATAGTGCTACAGCACAGCTGTGAAAAGCACAGCCATTGAGGCTGCCCTGGGGCCAGACCCCTCTTCAGCTAGGCAGCTCTGCTCCATGATGGTCTGCATTGTTCTGCTCCAGTGAGGCATCTTTGGGGAGCCCAGGAAACATAGTCTTCAGTCTTCTGTGGAAAGTGCACTCTGAGCTATAGGGCAGCTGACTTATATAGACAGAATTCCCTGCCCCTGGCCCCTGATTGGTCAGAACAGAGCTGCTCTAATTGGTCAGAGCTGCACAGCTCCAATTGGATGGGGAAAGCCTTAATCCTATTGTTTGAAATAGGACTCCAGGAATCTCGATATAGAAAAGCCTAAGCAACCAGATGACCCGCAGGTAGCTATGACACACACTGAGCACCAGGGGGAAGACACTCAATGCAGGAGCTGCCCCCTGGTGGTCAGTGCATTCCCGTGTTCAGCTGACAGACGGGCGCCAGATGCTGGGCTCACAGTTGGCAAGCGCAGCTGTGGCAGTGTGAGCCTCTCCCGAGGACACTCTCCCTGTGCATCCAATAGGTGGCGCAGAGGGTCAGGATGAGCAGGAGTGGCGTGGCGCCCAGCTGGGGCTCTGGCTCCTCCTCAACCGCCTGCTGCTTTGCACACTACTTTGTGCTGTGTGGGATCTGTGGCGCGGAGGTCCACTGATCCCCACAGGCCAGGCCGAGGGATCCCACTAGTGCACAAATTCATGCA